CTTTGTTCTCTCAATGTAATACCTCGAATTGAATATTCGGGTCGATTTCTCGAAAGTTCTCGAGCGACTCGATCGCTGGACGACATTCTTCCGTTAGGCTCGCGTTCGTTTCGGTTCCTTTTTTTCCTTTTTTCATCGACTTTTTCATCCACCCGCGCTCTCTCCCTCCCTCTCACTCTGCCCATTCTATCGGTTCGATCCCCGCGAACAGCCTTATTAAACGGCGGGCTAGTGTTCGCGACAAGTGCCGTGAATATTACGACAGTGGGTGGAGTTCTGCGTGAGAGCGCGCATAGCTGACGCTTGATAAGGCGAATCAATATTATTCAATTCTGATAACAGCTCTCTCGTTGCGTCAAGTAGAAGCAGGGAACGCGTTAACCGCGCGACAAGCTGATAACAGATTTTCCGTCGACTCTCGGATGCTTGTCGCGAAACAGTACTTTGTCTTCCCCTCTCGCCCCGTCACCCTTCCTCACGCTTGAAAAGTATCGATATCGAGGAATTATTAAACTGCAATGTCTGTGCATAAGCTGTGCTATGCACAGACTGTTTTATTTGTGATACGCTACACAGAAGAAAAGAAAATTCTTGTTAGAAAAATATCTTTACTTTTGACATGTCAATCTTAAAATGAGATTGCGTGGCGTTAAACGAAAGTGAGTTACTTGCAAGAATGCATTTTATGTAATTCAATGAAAAGAAAAGCCTCTGTTCTTATTATTCTGTTATTATTATTATTATTGTTGTAAAAATAATTTCAATGGACTATAAAAGTAAAAATTAGATAAAATTTGGGAAGTTAGAAAAATTTGTAAATTAATAGGAATATGAATTTTGTTTTGTTTAAAAAATTCATATGTTAATTTATAACTTTTTATAACTTCTCAAATTTTACCTAATTTTTATTCTTGTTAGAGTCATATAAGTCCTTAATAAAAAGCGCAAAATATTGGATTGAGAATATGATGCTTTTGAATGTCGAAAGAAGACATCATTATCATTGAAATATAATCATACTGTATTTCTTATGAAATTATTATAATACGCAAATAAAATTGTAATGTTGAAATTCAAGATTTAAGAAGCTTTTAACAAAATTCTATATTGTTGCTTATATATAAAACAAAGATTGTTAATTTGAGTACATCAATTTTAAGCGAATACTAAATTATCTTCTGTACATTAACCCATTAAGGCCCAAGAGAAAACCACTAAGGATAGGCTTTCAAAAACCATCTAAATTAGGGTAAAACATCGAAATTTGTTAAAAAGTGAAAAAAAATTTGTGTTGAATTTAAAAATTCAAGATGGCGGACCAATATGTCGGCCCGAAAATTTGAAATTTTGGCCTATTTGAGTGAAAATCCGTATAGGGAGGGTTTTGGGTTCGCTGAGTATGAATATGCACTTATTTTTTGAAAATTTTTCAAAACGTACTTTCATTGAAATAAAACAAAATTAAAAATTTTTGGCCGCTATATTGATTTTTAAAGTAAAAAAACCATTTTTCTTCTACAGTCTGCTAAAGTATGATGTTTTGTCCCAAAATACCTTCGAAAGGTAGCTTATAATTTGGTTGGATTTTTCGCCAAATAACAAAACTATATCAAATTTTCGCATTTTTGGGCGGCCATATTGGATCCGCCATTACGAATTTTGAAAAAAGAAGTGCATATTTATACTCAGTGAACCTTCCTCCCCCCCCCCTATACGGATTTTCATTCAAATAGGTCAAAATTTCAAATTTTCGGGCCGACATATTGAATTTTGAAATCCAACACATTTTTTTTCACTTTTTAACAAATTTCGACGTTTCGCCCTAATTTAGATGATTTTTGAAAGCCTATCCTTAGCGATTTTCTCTTGGGCCTTAATAGATTAATAAGAGTGGCATATTGTTAGTGCGCGTTCGCATTGCTACCGGTGCTGTTCTATCAACTGCAAGTTTAACGTTTCTCCTTTTGACGCCGGCTACTTCAGCGCGAATGCCCGAGGAGAAAGAGTCTGATTTCTCGCCTCATTCATTCGCCAAATCGTTCGTGTCGCTAATTATGTTAATTAGGAGGCATCGCGAGCGACCCGGCGATTTTGTTTAACGATCGATGGAGCGAAAGTTTCCAGCAGAGAAGGCGTGAGACTAACCGACAATGCTCGCGCGATCTATGGGAAAAAGAATCGCAAGCGGCGTTTTCTACTCAACATCGTCTCGTTCGATTGTAAATATCGCATTTACATAACTCGTCGCGAACAAGATTGCAGATAGATGAAAGATATTTTTGTCGAGCGCACAAGCGCGAGCTTCTACCCTTGATTACGTCACATGGGAAGTGAAGTGCGTAGGAAGCGTTAATGCGATCGAATGACTCGCGATAGGAACGGAAAAAGGGCTTTATCTTGAAAGATAAAAAGAAACGTATCGAAAAAGAAACAGAGAGATCGGCGATCGAAAGTTTTAAAGGTGAAATCTTTAGAACAAAAGAGATCTCGCGTGTACATCGATCTCGGAACGATTCTAGCGAAGTTGGGAGAATTATTTTTTTTGAAAAGCATTGTTGGGTATTAATCGATTAAACTTCTCTTTGACTAAAATAATTGGCAAATCGATAATCAAAATTAATCAATCGTGCAAAATCAATCAATTATGCAGAGTATAATTATTATAATTATTTTAATTATTTATATAATCGTTGTATATGTGCCAGGTACACATCGCACCTGTTGAAGAAAATATTATTCTATACGGAAAAAAGGTTTGGCTGAATTAACTAAACATCTGGTCGAATATGAACGATCCAAAAATTCCTATTAAAGTAACCCGACTTCTGTTTAAGTTAACAAGATTTTTGGTTGACTTAAATAGAATTCGGGTTACTTCAATCGCAATTTCTAGATCGTTCATACTCGACCAGATATTTGGTTAATTCAACCAAATCTTTTTTTCCATGTACTGTTAAGAAAAGCGGTTACTTGATTTATCTTCTTTCTTTTATTAAATAATAGTTGTATTCAACAAAGAATATTTTGTTGGTAATATTCTTAAAATATATTCATGATAAATCTTAGAAAAGTTCATTTTACCATGCAGAGAAGACGAAACTAGTTGACTACCGGAATAAATTGGCAAAATCGACTATTTCTACTGTTTTTTTGATAAATTTTACAATTAAAATGTATCGTTGTTTTTTACTAAAAAATGTTCTGTAATAGATAGAATTTATAATAGCACAATATATTCTAATAATATTTGTAAGCAAATTTAGGTAGATGTGAATTCGTTTGTCTCGTCGCTAATTTTTTTTGTTTACCACAGTTAATTTTTGTAAGATATGTGACAAACTTTAATCTGAATGTGCGTTACAGAGAGACTTTTTTTAAATTTTAAATAATTCGGATATAAATTTTATTTCTATATAAATAATTTATATAATCATCTTTATATAGTCATCTATATAAATTAAATACAAAACATACGCGATATCACGGTTTTATAGTAAACTTAGTAATTAATAGTAAACTTAGTAATTTATTTATGCTAGCTAATTTCTATCATGTCTATATAATTTTCGTTATATAACTGCAAGGATATTGTTTTGAGTATATTGAAAGTTTGTTTCTGAAGTCGGTTAAAAATAAAAGTCTTGTATCTCTAAATGTGTTCAGATTTTCAAGAAAGTAATGGAATTTCCAGACGACCTAGATAAAAGCAGATAATGACGTTAATTTGAGAATTATGCAAATAACACACTGAACTAGTTACAAAAAGTCTCATCGCAATATCTCTAACGGTTCTCGAGTTATGAGCAAACGTACGAGCAAACCACACACAGGATAAGCTAAGAATCTCCTTTTGAAATCGGTATTATTAGAGAGTATCCACTGAATAAACATTATTCATTTTTTAGGTATTGCTTCTCTCATTGTAGTCAATTTGAGTTTCCCGTCGGCGTTCACACGTACTATTCCCGCGACGACCTTGAGGATATCTTCCGTCACGGCTGCGAGGGCTGCCTACGGGAAAAGTGACGTACGATCGAGTGCACGGCGCGAGCTCTGAGTCTCTTCACCGTGGGTGTCACCTCCTCTACCTCCACCTCGTCGGCGCGATCTACGCGATCGAGATCTCGATCGCGCGCGTTGTAGGTGAGCGGCCTCGGCGCGCGGTTGTTGCTGTCCCGTTAGGGGACCTAGAAGGCCCAGAAGAGGCCGGACAGCCAGTCGCGCGTCGGCTCGATCCCGGACATACCGGAACGGATCCTCACCCGATGAGGATTGTCCGGTCGATCGGATCGATCGGCAGTCAGTGAGCCGGGACGATCCTCCGGATCCTCCTCGTCGACGTTCCGTTCCAGCGGAATTCACAGCTCGCGCTCGCCTAGCCAGCACGTCGATCTCTTCGTCTTCATCCTCCCCCATCTTCATCGCTCCTTCTCCTCCTCGTCCTCATCTTCCTCCTCCCCCTCCTCCTTCTCCTCCTCATCGTCGTCTCTCACTCTCTCCCTCTGGTGGAGTTTTCCCCTTCCTCCTCTCCTGGCGTGATCTATCCTCTTCAAAGAGCTTCTCGAACGGTAGACGTAGTATTTCCTGGTGATCCGTGATGCGCACCACGAGCAGACTCTCGCGCTGATGCGCACGGTGGGTTCGTTATCAGTGATAATTATACGAATAATACTCGTGACAAAAGAGAGAAGAACCGGAAACACCTTCGCAACGTTCGATAGAAGGCGAAAGTTGCCACGCAAGTTGATGTGAGACTAACGAGTTTGCGAGCGATCGCTAGAGAGAGAGAGAGAGGATAGATTCCGAAATCATTGTAATCGTGTGTCGCTGCTGCTTTACGTACATTTAAAAAGTGGTTCTCTTTTTTCTCCTTGCTCCCGACTCTCGTTGCATTCGGCCGCGCAACGCGCCGGATATGACGGGAATACATATCGCTTCTGACCTCGCGTTTACGCAGGAAAAGGGATCACGTCGCTGTCACGTTTCTCTACGTTTTCCAGGGAACATCGCCAGCCCCGTCGGTGTGAGGATCTAATGAAGGATCAAGTCATGGGCCGCACAGGATACACGTGCATCAGGCACGTATTTTGTTCCCTCAACGTTTTGATCTGGGTATGTATTGTACTTATTATATATTCGATCCATTTGCATTATTAGGTGGTTTGGAAAATATATCACTTCTCTCCTCTTTTTAGGAAAAGAGAAACGAAAAGAAAACTCCTAAAAAAGAGAAAAACAGAAACTTTCTGCAAAAAGAAACCTTTAGAAGAAGATTTCTCTCTTTGGAAAAAGAAGTTTTTTTCTTTTTAAAGAAAGAATCTTTTTCTTCTAGACAAAGAAGCTCTCTTTAAAAAAAAACTTTTTTCTTTCTTCCTTAGACCTTAAAATTTTCTTTTGTCAGATTAGAAAGGTCTTTTTTTAAAGAAAAACTTTTTTGTAGAAAAAAACTTTTTTATTTAAAAAAAGAAGTTTTTCTTTCTAGGAGAAAAAGTTTTTTTCTTTTTTGAAAAAAAGTCTTCTTTTTTCCTCTTTAGACCTTAGCATTTTTTTTTGACGTGAAACGCATAATGAAACAGATCACAAACACGTGATTTTATATATTTATATATATATATATATATATATATATATATATATATATATCCATTTCATTACGCGTTTCACGTAAAAAAAAATGCTAAGGTCTAAAGAGAAAAAAAGAAGACATTTTTTTTCTAAAAAGAAAAAAACTTTTTTTCTCCTAGAAAGAAAAACTTTTTTTTAAATAAAAAAGTTTTTTTCTACAAAATGTTTTTCTCTAAAAAAAGACTTCTTTCTAATCTGAGAAAAGAAAATTTTAAGGTATATATGTATGTATGTGTATGTGTGCGTGTATATATAAAATTCATCCATCCATTCTCTTCAGTAAGAAATCGTGATTATCCGCTATCATGATAATGGCCAAGCGAAATGAACGGACATATCCGCTTTTGATGCAAATGGGTTAACAAGCTTGTCTCATCTGCGCGCGCGCGCGCTGTCCAAAAAGGAGCGCGCTCACATGGGAACGTCCCAAACGACGGAGGTTTCGTTAGCACACAATATTCGTGTAAACACGATGCGTTACACGCACGTGTGACGCGCGGCCTCAATCGCTCGAGTATGACAGAAATGAGACAATAGACGGCGACGAACAGTAACGACGGTCGACCCACGCGGGGTCGCCGTTTAAATCGACGCGCTTTTGTAATTCGCGCCGCATTCCGCGTCTCCCCTCCGCGCCCCTCCGCCTCGCGAACTTTATTGTCCCACTTGAAATCCGTCCGTGCGCGATGTCTGCGCGTCGTTGACGAGACGATGAGACGCCTTAAATAGGGCGTTGAACCCGTTGCTCTATGAGTTATGAACTTACGGTACCTAAAGCGTCGTCTACAATGAGAACTTAAGCAGTAAAATTTGAGCTTTAAGCCCTAAGAAGTTGACCAATCACAATCAATTATAAGAAGAATAATCGACTGTGATTGGCCAATTTCTTAGGGCTTAAAGCTTAAGGGGATACTGGAGTAGATGACGAACTCGAACAATTTCAATAATGCAGTGACGATCGTCATTAACATAATCACGCTATCCTTTTCGTATTTCTTGTATATATATGAATGTGTGTTGCTTTGTTTACCATATTTAACGGAAAACTTAACCATATATGTGTAGAAATCTTTCTGCAAACTTTTTCGATATTTTTAAGCTTCCAAATGCGAAGGTAGAGCAAAATTTTTCTGTTTGGAACATCCATACTTTCAGTATACAAGCCGCGGAACTTTTGGATTAGACAAATATTACGCTGATAGCTTGAGATTTTATATTAAAAATTTTTTGTTCGTTTTCGCTACATATCGAACAATGCTCTTATTAATTTTTGCACATACTTTCATTGCATAAAAGCATTTGTAATTCTGTGTAACCGTTGGTCAGTGTTCTGTCGGTAAAGTTTACAGCTTCAGCATCCCCTTAAGTCTTACCCCTGGTCTACTTTCGGTGATTTAAGCCTTAAGCCCAATGTTTCAACCTCTAAACCGTGACGTATTTTCGTTTTAAAACATTTCCCGCGCTGCTCTAAGTCTCAATCTCTAAGCTTTAAGCAAGTTGACCAATTCCCATCTTTTAAGAAACGCTTTAGAACGGAAATACATGGGATTAAAATATCGGGCTTAAGGTTTAAATCACTGAATGTAGACCAGTAGCCCTATTCTGTAACTTGTTATTGGAGTTAACGACAGTTTCGTTATCGTTGCGCAGCTTTTGTATATCGTAGAAAAACTGCGCAATGATAATGAAACTGTCGTTAACTCCAATAACGAGTTACAGAATCCCAACACAGGGGTTACGGCTTAAGTTCTCATTGTAGATGACGCTTAAGGCAACGATAAAGCGTCATGCCACTTCGCTCCGAGTTATATACGCGCTGTGTGTAACTGGTAGTACAAAGTGTGTACACGTGCGTGTTCCTCGTATTTTTCTGTCTTTCTTTTTTCCGCACGTACGCGCAGTACGTGTGTGTGTGTGCGTGTATCTTTGCGCGCGCGCATCTTTGTACACTTGTCGTAGACTGGTCATTATTAGTCATGTCTAATTGCTTCACATTATGTATTCTTGAGGCAATACGCGTATCTTCTAAGACAGTCGTAGGTACACCATATGGCGCGCGGCTAGTTAGATAAAAATGTTTTGATACCTTTTGACGACAAAATGATAACTGACAATTGATGACAATGACTGACATCAGAAAAAGGAGGTTCTCAGTTTGTCATGTATGTACGTATTTGCTTGTGTGCTTTTTCATAACTCACGAGCCGCTAAAGATATCGAGATAAACGTTTTTGTTAGTTGTTCTCAGGTTAGTGTCATATTACCTGGTTTTCTACAGGTGACCTGGAAATTAGTTAATTCCATTGGAAATCCGAGAATATCTAAAAATATTAGACAAAACTCTTATTTTTAACCGAATTAAAGAAAAACTTCTACCGACTTAAAAAAAACGGACTTTTAGTAAATAACTAAAAAGTACGAAATAAAAAACGTTTTTACAAAAATAAGTCGTTTTTAAAATCTTAAAAAGTATGAAATAATTTTCACTTAATATGCCTGCGTGCATCTACAATCTTATGTTAATATTTCAATAATATTAGAAGTCGCGACGCGAGAAGCATAAATTAGATAGATAACTATCTTTACAACTATAGGGGAATAAATAATAAAAAAAGGTATGATTATCGACTCAGTCAGGTTTTTTGGCTGACACTAATATCGTCAGAATATTAGGATAGGATTATAGAAGTACATGGTAATATTAATTTAAAATTATTTTAAATCTTTTAGGACTCTTAAGTGTTTTTTTTTTCTTTAAAAAAGTAGTTTGTGCACCTACATAGCACACTGAGGAAAAGACAACTGGAAATTTATTTGTATAATATAAAATTTATTTCCGTGATATAAAGTATATTTCTGAGAAATAAAATTTGTTTCTGTGAAATAAATTTTTGTCCTACAAATAAATTTTCAAGTATTTTTTTCTCAGTGCACAACACGCCCCAAAATCATTCGCAATGTGTTCAGAATACTCTGAGGTTGTCCTAGAACGTTCTAAACATATTCGAGATAATCTCAAAATGATTTGTAGCTATCTGGCACATAAAGTGACTCACCAAATTATTCGAAGGCTTGCCATTAAAAAAAACTGGTAATAATATATAAAAAAAAGATTATATATTCAATTAAAAATTTGTTGACTGATATGAAAGATATGAATGTGTGTGTCAAGGTTGCAAAAGTAGAATTAGAACAAGATGGAAGGACATGTGCGTGTCGATAGCGAGGATATTCGGCGGCGATTACGCTGCGCGTTACATAACGCTTCTCTCGCCGCGTACCGTTCGTTTGTGCACGCATCATCGGCAGTAATTAGAAAGTACGGACATGCTTTTGTACAATTAGCTATCGGGGTCGCGTAACAGTGCATTCATTTGCTAATCATGCCGCGGCGTGCGGGTTGCAATTTAGAAATTACTGCCGTTGTTTCTCCGCTCGCGACGTTCCGCGGACGTTTCGCGTTAAGGGGATTAAAGAGTCAGATTGCCTGAAAATCATGCTTGTTGTTTCACAAGTCTTTATGACAAACTGAATGAATACGCGAAAGTGTTATATTGACGTGTAATTATACAACACATAAAGAGAAGAAAAATATAATTTTGATGATCAAATATTCAATATAAGTGTATGGTACATATAGTTAAAATATATTTCGTTTTTTTTTTCAAGGTCGTCATTTTGCAGTAATATCTTGACTCTTGGTGATTCAATTAAGCTGAATTTTAGGTAGAAAATTCCTTTAAGCTTGTCGTTATCGTGTGAACCACTGATAAACTCGTGAAAATATTTAATTTTGAAATATTAATTTTTTTATTATAAAAGAACTGAAAATTTAATAATATTCCATTAAAATACTTGCAATTTTGTTAACTTTTACTCAGTTTCTATTATAGTGGTTCACACGATAACGACAAGCTTAAGAAATTTTCTACCTTAAAATTCAGCTTAATTAAACGATTGAGAGTCAAGATATTACTGCAAAATGACCTTGAAAAGAAAAACAAGATATATTTTAACTGCATACACCATACACTTATATCGAGTATTTGATTATCAAAATTATATTTTTCTTTTCTTTATATGTTGTATAAATACACGTCAAAATAACACTTTCGCATATTCATTCAGTTTGTCATAAAAAATTGTGAAAGAACAAGCACGATTTTCAGGCAATCTGACCCTCCAGTCCCCTTAAGCACTCGACACGTGTACGTACAAGTCGTAAAGCGGTATGTTTATCGGCGGTGCATTTATCAGCGTGTCATCTCGGACTCGATTACGAGAGATACGTTGCAGCTGGACCATGCAGTTTCAATTTATCTGACTCCACTTGGATGAATTAGGTGGATGTGATCAGCATTCAGTTGAGAAAAAGGTTTGGTTGAATTAATCAAATATCTGGTCGAATATGAACGATCCAGAAATTCCAATTGAAGTAACCCGAATTCTGTTTAAGTTAACAAGATTTTTGGTTGACTTAAACAGAATTCGGGTTACTTCAATCGCAATTTTTGGATCGTTCATATTCGACCAGATTTGGTTAATTCAATCTTTTTTTCCGTGCACGACTCGGCTTCTTGTCGCTGACAATGTTGGGCATTAATCGATGGAAATTTTAATTGGCTTAAATAACTGGTTAACCGATAACTGGTAAACCAAAAATTAAGATTAATTAATTGTGTTATGTATGTAATCACGAATGATTTAATCAATTAATGAAATTAATTATTAATCAGAGTATTATCAATTAAATCAAGTTTTTAATTAATTTAATAATCTCAATTAAAATGTTTTGTCCGAAAATGCTGCTGACATTTCAAACATCTTATTATATTGTGAGAAATGTTAGGAAATATTTTGTTTCTTAATATTGAAATGAGTTGCAATAATGAACAAATATCCTGAATTAGATTTGGTCTAATTTTGGACAAATTTCATTTAAAAATTTTATATTCTGATTCAAAATCTTTCTGCGTTTTGATGAATCATCTTAGTGCAATGATCGCAAAATTAACTTTATTTAGTGCTATTATTGATGCTATTATTGTACAATGTTTGGACAATTTTTCTACTAGAGATGTAACGATTTATTAATTTTGCTTATTGATTGCATACTATTATTTTAGTCCACTATCAGTGGCGTAGCCAGAAAAAAGTTTCGGAAAGGGCTGTACTTTTTATTTTTGACAAAAAAGATCATTCGAAACAATTTTTCTCACACTTAGCGTAACCCAGAAAATTAATTTCGGAGGGGGGCTGCAATCCCCTCAGCCCCCCCTCCCTGGCTACGCCACTGTCCACTATAATTTTAATGCCCGACAATAGTCACTGGCTGATTGCAGCGAGTTATATCTACCAATGCTCTCAGAAATTCTACTGCCTCCGATGTGGACCCCGAGTCTCTCTCCTTCTCTCCCTCTCCCTTTTTCTCTTTCTCTATTTGCAAATAACTTAGCAGGTGAACGACAAGCCGATTCTCCGTTATACATGTATCCGGGCGACCGAATTGACGTTCAACGCACTTCGCCGACCTTCGCAAAACGACATCGCGCGACTTCGCTTCCGAGATATCTTGAGTTGGATTATTATTATTCGAACAAATATATACCGATAATATATATACATTTATTACTTCAGCCAAGAAGATTTGGTTTAGAAAAATATCCTTAGCCACAATTATCCTTCCATGTTTCTCTCTTACTACTTCTCTTTTCCCACTAATATTTTTATTCTAATATCACGCAATCTTTATATCAAATATATCCTACAATATCACAAATATCAAATATATTTGTTTCACTAACTTGCTCCCATATCACATTGTATAAAATTCCTTCTACTTTATTTTATTTCATCTATCATCTAAGGTAAATGTACTAATGCCCGGACATGTACCAATCTCCGGACATTGTTTTTATTTTTATATTTGAATATGAATATTTCAACTTTCAACGTACAATACATACATATTGGTATACATACATTTAATATTTATATTTAGTGTACGTTGAAAGATGAAATATTTAGAGAAATATTCAAAATAATAAGAGTGTCAGGAATTATGTCCGGGCATTGGGACATTTATCTTACCTCTACTTTATTTTGCAATTTTCCTAATATGTACCGATAATAAAAATTTTCCGATTTTTTCACTTTTTTTTCTTTCAAGGATTCTCTCTTTGCGCTCGTTGCACTCGTCGTACGTGGAACGAATCTCGAAGGTCGTTCAAAGTTAGCCGTCCGATTTTCCTCTCTCATTAATGACTCGGAAATCCGCGCGCGATGCTTTTTAACTTACAATCTATGGTTCACACCGTCGGTTTCTCGCACAGACGCGCCTTCTCTACGATCTAAGCGCTTTCTCTATGCCGAGGGGCTCGCGTTATCGCGAGTCAAGTCGAATGAAAAGAACACGACATTGACCCAGTGAACTCGCGTGCCGCGGACGGCGGGCGATAAGGATCTCCCCGATGCTCTTAATTGCGAACATCGTGGATTAGAGCGACGGGTGATTAACGAACGAGAATGAAATGTTTCCGACCAGCTAATCTTTATGTGGGGAGAGAATGATAACAATTCGTTGATATTTAATACGATTCCTATCAGCGTCATACGTGTGTGACGCATCGGTCTTTCACATTGAGAAGATAATACGTAATTTTCATACATAATTGCATATAATAAAAGATTTTTAGTCAGAAAAATCATTTTTATAGTAAGGGTCGATATCATGATAGTATCACAATAGTGTTAGTGATAATAATCTTATATGATACATATTGAGATATTATTATTTTTATATTAAGACAACAAGAAAAAATAGTTGACGCAAAAAATTATAATAATTTTAGTGACACTAGTAATATTTTTCTCTCAGTGTACTGAGAAAAATTTACATGTATGACGCACCGGTTTTTCACATTGAGAAAATAATTTTCATATATAATCTAATTTTCATATATAATTGCATATAGTAAAAGATTTTTAGTCAGAAAAATCATTTTTATAGTAAGGGTCGATATCACGATAGTATCATAATAGTGTTAGTGATAATAATCTTATGTGATACATATTGAAATACTATTATTTTTATGTTAAGACAACAAAAAGAAATAATTGATGCAAAAAATTGCAATAATTCCAGCAACATTAGTAATATTTTTCTCTTAGTGTACTGAGAAAAAATTTGCAAATTTGATATTCGGAACTATAATCGTATACACTGAAAGAAAAATATAGTTGCCTTTGCCGTCAACTACACTCTTTTTTTATTTTAAGCATAAAAATAGTTAGACAAACCATTGTTTTAGTAAGTATTATTAGAAAAATGGTTCTTCTAATTATTTTTCTGGTTAAAATCACGAAAAAAGTATAGTTGACGAAAGCAACTATATTTTTCTCTCAGTGTAGTGAAAGAATTATAGTCGCGTGAATAATTGTTTTAGTAGATGTTACTATATACAGTGTCAGTGATAACGATTTTATATGTATATTTTTATTACTACTTTTCTATTAAAAAAATATGAAGAAATAATTGACACCGCAAATAACTTACATAATTTTACTTACATAAACAAATTTTTCCCTTCAGTGCAGAAGAGACCAGCGTCGCGTATGTGCGACGGCGATTGTTTTTTATTTTACGTTCATATGAACAAATTAAGTCTGTTTTACATTGTTACATAACGAAAGGACACAGAGAGTGGTCTGTGGGGACGGTTTCCCGAATGAATCGTAGTAGCGAGCGTATTAAGTCGCTACAAGTGCGTCAGAGAGCGGATCTGTCCGTCAAGAGTCGGATGGGAAAGAGCACATGTTACGACGCGCGTGTTACGCCCGGACTGATACGCACAATTTGTTTTACAGTTATGCGCTTGCGGAATTTTGGGTGCGGGCCTTTGGCTGCGACTGGCTTATTCCGGATACGCGACCTTGGTGCCGCAGTACAGCTTCGCATCGGCGGACTCGTTGCTGCTCGCCGCGGGATGCGTCACATTCGTCATCGCCTTCTTCGGATGTTGCGGCGCGTGGTTCCAGTCGAGATGCATGCTGATCACGGTTGGTACAACGTGACCCATTGTAAAAACGTGCCCGGCAAAAGGAGGCATAAGCGCGTGCACGCGCCGCATACACAAGCCGCGTTGATTATTCCGACCGCCTTGATTCTTTCGGACTTGTTATTATTGAGTCGCGCACGCGAATTCTTATCGCGTATTCTAATCGTGCTCGTTGCTGCTGTTGCAGTATTTCAGCCTGGTGATACTCATGTTCCTCGCCGAGTTCATGCTGGGCACCCTGGCGTTCGTGTTCAGGGAACACCTCGCGCGAAGTCTGAAGGAGGAATTGTTGTACGGCATCGAGAAGCATTACAACGTCACCAGGGAGCCGGGAACACTGCCCGCTGTGTGGGACCACATACACACGGAGGTTCGCACTGATCTGATTAGTATTCCTAATAAGCAAAATATACTCTCTTTCCACTCTAAAAAAAAGGCATGTAAGAGATTTAATTGTTGCCACTTTTCCGCGATGCTGATTGGTTCTCTCGCTTAGCTCACTTCATGTGGGTTTGGTTCGTGTCGCTTGCGCCTGTCAAATTATCAGGCAAATAACTGTCATCGCGTTGATTAGCTCATGAGGAAAAGAATAAGAAGAGATATAAATTATAAGAATAGAAGAATAGAGAATAGAAGATTAGAGGAGAAAGAGGAAAAAGAAAGGGCAGACAAAGAGAGAAGCATATTATTTAGGTAAAAATAAGGGTAAGAATAAGGTAATTTTATAAAGTAATTTAAAAGGTTATTGTAATGATAAAGATGCTAAATAGTGCGCGCGTAGCGCTATTTAGCCATTTTTTGTTCGTTTCGAATGAAATTCCATTCCGAAAAATTTTGCAAATACTCTCTAAATTTCTTGAAGTGTAATTTCTTTCGAAAAATAGAGTGATTGAATACCTTGAATTCGCGACTAATTGATTGAAATATTCACTCATATGCATTCAGGATCCATTGTAAGCTGAAGTAAAGTATTTATTTTTGCAATTTTGCGTGACAATATTTTCACTATCACTTCAAAAGAAAATACTACCGCTTTTTGCAATTTTGAATTTTATTTAGAAAGCAGAGTGACTTTTAAGTCATTCGAATTTGAATGATTTTTCACTCATTTAGAATGAATTCTTCCCTCTAAATTGTCGAGTTATATTTTCAGGTGTATAATAATCGTCTTTTTTATTATGTATAATGTTTTATATTTTAAATCAGTGAAACATCACTGAGAACAGTAAATATACACTGATTTGCAGTTATAAGTGTTGCACTGAAAGTGCTCAGTGTTATATTTATAATTGATATCAGTGACTATTCACTGATTCACTTTAAGAGAGTAGGCTACTATGCCAATAGATTGGCAACAGCTTCGATTAGAATGTTGTAGCAATCGAGTGCGCGTTCCGCAGACAGAGCCTGCCGGCATAACTTGAAAGTAAATTTGTGACGAAAATCGAGCAAATTCGAAATAATCGACGAATCCATAAGCTTTCTTCCCCATAGATCTAGATCTTGACAATATATGTATCTGCACATGTATTAGGTGTACAACTTTATTTTCGCCGTTTTTTTCCGAAATTCGAGGCTTTATTGTAAAAAACTGGTTATACATTTATGATTCAAAGTATTGTCCATCGCTGGCCACTACTTTCTCCTATCTTTCGGGCAGCGTACGAATCCCGCGTCGAAAAAACTGGTCATCTTTTGAGGCGATCCACGAATCGATCCAATTTTTTACTTCTTCATAAGACCGGAAGTGCTAGTCAGCCAGGCCGTGTGCCATTGATCGAAACAAGTGATAGTCAGAGGGAGCAACGTCTGGAGAATACGGCGGGTGAGATAGGACTTCCCATTTCAACGTTTCCAAGTATGTCTTGACCACTTTTGCAACATGGGGTCGAGCATTGTCATGCTGCAAAATCACTTTATCGTGTCTCTCGTTGTATTGCGGCCGTTTGTCTTTCAATGCTCGGCTCAAACGCATCAATTGCGTTCGATACCGATCGCCTGTGATTGTTTCAGTCGGTTTTAACAGCTCATAATACACTACGCCGAGCTGGTCCCACCAAATACAGAGCATGATCTTGGAGCCGTGAATATTCGGTTTGGCTGTCGACGTGGAAGCATGGCCGGGAACTTCCCATGATTTTCTGCGTTTGGGGTTATCGTAAGGAACTCATTTTTCGTCCCCAGTCACAATGCGATGCAAAAATCCCTTCCGTCTTTGCCTTTCAAGCAGCTGTTCACAAGCAAACAAACGCCGTTCAACATCTCTCGGCTTCAATTCGTACGGCACCCAATTTCCTT